AATGCCCGGCCTTGTCATCCCCCCACCTGCCGCCGCCACCTCCCTCCCTCCCATCGGAATGTTTTCCAGTTTTCCCCCGCCGTGCCCCATTCCCCCGCCACCCACTTCCCCCGCAGCAACTGCCCGCTGCTCTCACTGTTATCCAATTCGGCATCCTGCAACATGCTGCCCAAAACAAAACAAAACCAAACAAAAAAAAACTCCCGTCTTCAGTTTCAGCCATTATTTCTTGACACAACTCAAGGTGCACTTTCGGTTTTCCTGCCCTTGTCATGAGCTCCCGTCATTTGTTTCTCTCGGCTGCCAGAGCAACAAGTGACGCTCTTCTCTCCGAGAGCCAATCATGTTGACCTCCTGCAGACAACTGGATCGAATGGCGTTGCCGGCGAGCTTCTGGAGTGGCATGGGTCGGACGGTGCCTCTTCGGGTGGAAACAGGCCATCGCTTTGTGTTGATGTGCCACGCCGTTGCCTGATGACCGGTCCGTTGCCGGTCAACATGGACGGTCGCCACTCCGACGCTAAATGGCGACGAGTCGTCAAGAGTTGCTCTCCAGCTCAGCCCCGACTGCAATGAGGATGGACAATCTCGAAAAGGGAGAGTTGCATTTTGAAGACTATTTGGCGCCAAGGAGGTTCGGCCAAGCGCTTTTGATCCTGGACCGCCGTGCAGTTCTACTGGGGAATTGTTTGGAAGGAAAGCCGGTGAACACTCACATTAGATGACCCAATTTCCCTCAGAGGACTGAATCCACCATGAACGGAATGACGTGAAGACTTGAAGAATTTGGCATCTTCCAACATTGCTCCATTGACACACACACACACACACACACACACACACACGCACACACACACACACACACACGCATAGCAAGTGGGAGGAAACACAGACCAAGCGACACTTGTTTCTTTCAAAGCCTCCTGCCAGTCCAGTTTGACTGCTGGACATTGTTCTCGACCGATAAAGGGCGACAAGGAAAACCACCACATCAATCGAAAAATAACTCCCTCACCCCTCCGGCAGTAAAACAAACAAAAATTTCTGCCATCATGTCCCCCGCGTAGATTTGGCTTTCCCATCGCTCTTTTAGCATCCGGGGAGAGTTGCGATCGGGCTCAGCACAAAAAGCGGCGGCCTTGCTCATCCCAAATGGACAAATAATAACGGCAAGGAATGCTTTGAGAACAACGTAAGCGATCAGTAGCCACAGTGCAAACAACTTTAGCCAATGTTTACTTTCAACATGAAAACGTTTCCCTGTAAACGGGAGCGACTGCTCCACCGAGCATGTGCAATCAACGGCCGGCGTAGCTTCAGTTTGCACAAAAGAGATCGTCAAGGCCCGCAACATCACTTTATGGCGTCTCCCTCCCAAATTATCAAGCTTCATGATTCGTGCTCAATAGATTCCATTGAAGTTGTCATTTTTCTTCCCGTTCACAGGCAAGAGTGAAATACTGCCTCATCCTGATCTTCTGCGAAGAACGATGAATACGACCGCCGTACTGAGAAGCTGAGAAAGGAGCTGAGACTATGTCCAGTGAATGGCTTGTACTGCCCCCGGTCGGCCCACCAGAACGAGCAGCCCACACTGTGCGTTGAAGGTGAATGTGGCATCCGATTCCTTATGACTGCATGTTTAGATCAAGTAGAATCGCATGGAAATAAAATAGGAAGCAACATTTTGGGGCTATTCAAGGAACGAATTTGACTTTCATCTCGGGCACCACCGCACACGGCTCTCGCAGTCGTAATTTCCCTTGGTGGGAAACCGTAACCGCGTTGCGGCTCGCGCCGAAAATCACGTTGACAGCTCAGCCTCAACGCACGACGCTCGCTGCGGCATCTGTCGACTGCATGTGAAACTTCATCCGCTTTCCACGCTCCGCTTACCTTTGTGCTTGTCCATTCCCTCTTGTCCCGAGGTGTCCCGCTCCAACTCATACAAGCCGACGATCCCAAAAGTTTTCAGACAAGAGTGGTGGGCCTCCGGCAGCCGCCAGCAGCGTCTCGCGCGCCCTGGACCCG